GGGGGGGGGGGGGGGGGGGGGGGGGGGGGGGAAGGGGGAGGGGAAGAAAAAGAGAAGGGAGGGCCTGTAAGATACCGCACACTTCTCCTCCAGTTTTTTTGTTAAAGATTATGAAAAAAAGTTACTGTGTTTATGAAACTCTCATAAGCTGAAGCTAGATTTTCGTGAAGACTAATCTTCAGTTTAAGCCCTAATCAGTGTGATTCTTTTTTTATATATGTCGTCTTGTGCGCTGTGAAGGAGCTTAACGGCTAAGTTCGTCATGAAGTCTGTAAGCTTCGGCGCCTACGCAGAAATTCTCCACATATCTGACGTAAATGGATATGAAATTGCTTAAAACGTCGCAGTATTGAGTTTAAATGCGGCTTAGTCCTTGCCCCTTTTTCCTATTAAGCCTCTGTCAGATTACTTCAAGTTACGATTGGTGTGCGTTGTTGCTGCTTCTCCACGGAACGGAGGAAGCCATTTCATCCATCGTTTGATTGCATTTTAAGGTTTTTTTTTGCAACTTAAACTCGAATGCATTGGGGAAAAAAGAATTTGAATGCATTGACCGCAACTCAAATAGAATTACACTGAAAACTCTTTAAGTTAATTGTTCTGTTGTAGTCAAAAGCCTGCTTCCGGGTGGATATTGGAAAAGGAAGCTATCGGCTGCGCTGCTGATACGTGTTTACCGTTGTCATTGTGTCGAAACTCACCCGCAATTACTAAAAATTGACTTAGCCACCCAAAATGCGCTAGCTTAGGGATTGCGAAAAACACAGATGTAACTAAGTGCTAGGTTTTTTTTCTGGTGAAATTTTATAGTACAATTCCAAGCTTACTAGCTTTAACTCGGTATCTTGGCTTAGCACCATAAACCAATATGAAATCCTCGCACTCATAATCCCTGTCCAACTTTCCAATTCCTACCTCCAAGCAAGTTCTCAGATTTTTTTCAGTAAATATACCAGCTCCGTAGTCTCTGTTATGGCTCCTCGCGACCTGAATCAACGTCCCCAGATTTCCCCGTGCCACCCATCTCTACCCCTCCATTCCTCCTTAACTTCTGAAGGGTATATTATATTCACCGCATCCTACTTTTTCATCTACTGCATTACAACACAAATTTCTAACATCTTACCTTCTTTATTCTCTTTTTAAACTCACTGTGGCGACATGGGACACTTTTCGCACCGATTCTGCTGTCTGTGTTTACAGCTCAGCGATGAAACACAGACAGGGCACCAAGTTACAGCATATACAGGCTTGCCTTTATGGGAG